ATAACTGACATCTAGTGTTCTCTCTTAGACATTCAGTGATCAGTTGACCCCTCTGGTCTGACCAGATTCCTCTTCCTGGCGGGCCCATTCTATTGCCACTCCCACATCTGCATATATAATGTTTCCTCTGCTTGGAACATTTTTCCTCCCACTCCAGCCCAGCGGACAACACCCATTTATCTTTAAACCCTAGCTGAAACATACTTTCCCCACTAAACCTTCCCTGACTCCCTTCCTCTACCAAAAGTTCTCCACACTCTTCTCTGCTACCAAGACCCGTTGTACTTGTGCTACATATGTCACAAGTACAATTTAATTTGACAAGTAGTATTGAGTGCTTGCTATATGTCAAGCATTCATCTGGGTGCTTGAGATAAGTCTGAAGAGATAACTAAACAAAACAAAATCACTGCCATTGTGAGGCTTATACTTCATGAAGGGAACAAACTTAATAAATAATGTTTCTAGAATATTGGAAGGTAACATGCTGTAAACAAAAAAGTAAAGCAGAAGGTGGGAGGTTAGAGTACTGAGTGGTGAAAGTTGAGGGGAGGGGAAGAGCTGCAATTATAAATAGGGTGATCAACTTAGACCTCATTAAGAAGGTGAAATGAGTCATGGAGATGTATGTACAGCTGATGACTATAGTTAATAACAATGTATTGCATATTTGAAAGTTGCCGAGAGTAGATCTTAAAAGTTCTCATCACCAGAAAAAAACATTGTTGTAGCTATGTATGGTGATAGATGTTAACTAAACTTATTGTGGAGACCATTTTATAGAAATATCAAATCATTATGTTGTGCACTTGAAACTAATATAATCATATAAGTCAATTATGCCTCAATTAAAAAACATTGAAATATGAACAGAGTTAAAAGTGCAAAGGAGTGAGCTGTGCAGATTTCCGAAAGGAGAGGGAACTCTAGGACAAAGGACCTAATACTAGAGCCTGTTTGAATTTTACTGTCTGAGAATCAGTAAAGAGGTCAGAATAAAGTGGAATATGAACAGTAATTCTTTTTCCTGTCTGTCTCCTTTATTGTTTAAACTCTTTGAGGTATCTGTATGTTACCATTACTTAGCTCTGCATCCAGCACAGTGCCCTGTATAAGTGTTCATTAACTTGAATAATATTCTCAACAGTGATGGTTTGCTAGGCCCAGGGCCGAAGACCCCAACGAGAAGCACCAAAACCTCTTAAACCTGGACCCGTATCCTTACCCAGGGCTCAGGCGACCTTTCCCATAGTTCCCACCTTTCCCATAGTTCCCTTGTTGACTGAAGGATCTCAGTCTCAATGGGAGATTCCCTGTCGTGTCAGAGGTGTTGTAGCTACCTTCCCAGCCTGGTTTCTCCATGAACAGATGCCTAAAATCTCCTTTGCTCCCCCAAAGGTTGGAAAAGCTACTGCTTCCTGTCACAAACTCTCTTTAAATCACACCTCCTAATGCCTTCTGAGTATTGTGAAGCAAGGTTTATGTATTATATGATCTAGACTACATTTCCAGAATTCCATAAGCCTAATCCTTGTACATGATTGACATCTATATGGTAGTATAGGTTCTGAAGATAAGCAGTTAGAACACTCACGACCTGGGTGTCCTTGGGCAAGTTGTTTAATGTCTACAAGCTTCTTTCCTCACTATAAAACGATTCCCACCCAGTAGAGTTAGAAGGATTAAATGAAGTTATTAAAGTAAAGCATTTATTCTTGCGTCTGACAAATAGCAAACTCGGTAAATATTCTCTTACTCTCTACGACCCTAAATATCTTTGCAACAAATATCCAGCAGCTTCCACGCCTTTAGCATCCAGCAATAACCCTTGGTTCAATATTATTTTTTAATATTGATTTGTGTTCCTGTCCTGTCACATTTTCTTGATCACTGACACTTGTTGACATCTCCCAATATTACCTGAACTACTTACATTTTTACTTGCGACCTATTCCTGATTTCTGATAACTGCGAATGTCTTAATCTCCAGACAGCCAACCTAAAATGTAGGTGAGTATCCCAGCCTCTACTTGAGAACTTTTTTCATCCTGCCAGTTTGACTCCAAATTGAGGATTTGGAACAAGTTATAAAGAAGTGTTTCTCCGTGGAGGTAGAACCGGGTTTAGATTAAACAATTCTCAAGGAAAGTTAAAGATTAGCGAATGAGGAACCAAATTCTACCTAGATTTATTTTTGCAGTTTTTTCAAAATCTATTTCTATAGAAGTTGCTTTTTAATAAATAATTCTTTAAACTTGTTTTTTTCTTAAAAAAAAGTGTATTGTACTTGTACAAATAGTTCTTTTAAATACAATTTAAAATTATTGACTCAATTAGTTTAGTTTGTTCAAGGAGTCAAATGTAAATAACATTAAAAAATTAAAACATCTTGTTGCCACGGCTTGCTGACCAGTGTAAGATTTTCAATTTTGCTTTCCTTGTTATAGTACTTGTTCTTTTTTCTTCATCTCCTTTAGGAGAAAATAATTTCCCAGTTACCAAATAAACCAAAAAATAAAGTAACATCATCAAAGTGACATTACCAAAGCACTAAAGCATCTCATTACCTTCAAATAGATCTCTGTCTCTTGAAAACACGAGTTTGTACTCATGTGTTGTCAGATGGAAAGCAGTTCTACTCTGAACATTAGTAATTGGGTTAGTCACCCAGGCTAATCAAGCAGAAAACAACTGAGAAATGGTTGGTTTGGATGTTTCATTTTGCAGTTTTCAAGGCATTTTTGAAGAAAGGTATGAGTGCCTACAAATTCTTCCCAATAGTCATGGAAATGCTCCTACCTTGGTATATAGTAGTTATTCCATTCTGTCAACTAAACCAGTCTTGGGATTAGCCTCTATTCATACCTTTGCAAGAATGAAGTGGCTATTTCCATGTAGTGCAGGTTCTACAGGCATCTTAGCCAAGATTGGCGTTGCTCAACCTTTTCTACATCCCTGCACTGATGAGGAATATGGTACACTCAATTAGCACCCACAAGTGCTTAGAATGGTAGCATCTATGTGTTATTTGAAAAACTCCATCTAATGAATCTAATACATCATGCCAGCCCTCATTTATCTCCTAATTGAGATCATAAACTCATTCAAGGTTTTGGTGTATTTTGTTGAATAGCAAATTTTTTCCTTAAAAATGACCATAAGTAAAAAGTACAATTCACTTTGTATGTAGGTCACAGCAACACCAGGCAAAATAAACCTAGGTTTTAAGAACAGTTATCCTAATTAGCTCTTCTACACAGTGGACTCAGTAGCTAAGTCCCCTTTAGTGAATTAAGTGGTACACTTGGCCCTCTAAATTGCACTATGCCATAGCCAGTTTATTGAATCCTTAGAGACCTATTTAGAAAGATATTCTAGTCCCTAATGTTTTATCTTCTATTTGAAGAAAACAGTCTTTCAGC